GGGGGGGGCTCTTAAAAATTAAATGTTTTCACCGGCCTATATGTACATGTATAACATCTATTTATGTTGCTTTACTGTGGTAGGTTTTTTTGATGCCTCAGATCATGCCCTGTCTAGGACACGGCGTGAGAGATCTATTTATAGCTGCAGCTTCGTGCACTCCGCCCATCTTTCGGACAACTGTACGTACATATACGCGTTGTATCTCGGTGCAATGCCAATAAAGTTTATTCTGATTCTGATTCTTCTGAAAAGTATGATACTGTCTTAAATTGTAGTTTAGCGGTATAAAAATATTTCTAGAACAAAGTATATCTATAAAATTTAATTAAATGAAGTGAAGGTCCTGACATTGACATTTGTAGTAAAGTGGCAAAGCAGCATATGAGGTGAATGTACACAGTGTATGTATGAAGTCCTTGATATTGGTATAGGTAAAGTGACATGTGCAATAAGGCTAGTAAAAATAAAATTAAAAAATTAAAAAATATATAATATAGGTAAACACCTATGTGAGAATGCTCTTCATTGACTACAGCTCAGCATTCAACACCATAATCCCCTCCAAGCTGGTTTCCAAGCTCACCACACTGGGCCTGGAGAAGTCCATCTGCTGCTGGATACTGGACTTCCTCACCAACAGACCACAGGCAGTGAAAATTGGCAGTCACCTCTCCTCCACACTAGTCCTCAGCACCGGTACACCTCAAGGCTATGTCCTCCGTCCACCCTTGTACTCTTTATTTACACAAGTATTCCCCCAAACATAGCTTTAACATCATCCTCAAGTATGCTGATGACACCACCATCTTAGGCCTCATCACCAACAACAGTGAGAGTGCCAACAGAGATGAGGTGAAATCACTGACCAGCTGATGTCAAGAAAATTCCTTAGAGAACTTTACTAATTGACTTTTTAATGTATGTGAATGTCTCTGTAAAGTGCCCTGAGACAACTTTGTTGTGAATTGACGCTATATAAATAAGCTAAATTGAATTGAAAATAACCTCTCTTAATGTCAGCAAAACAACGAGACGATAATGGACTTCAGGAAACAGAGTGGAGATCAGCACTCCATCATCTACATAAACAACGCTGAGGTGGAGCAGGTCAGCAGCTTCAAGTTCCTTGGCGTTCACATTACTGAGGATCTATCCTGGACTTTATACAAACACTGTGGTCAAGAAAGCCCAACTTAAGACTTTACTTCCTAAGAAGACTAAAGAAGTTTGGTATGAACACCAGCATCCTCACCAACATTTATAGTTGCACCATTGAGAGCCTGGTGACAGGCTGCATCACAGGGTGGTACATGAAGTGCACCAGTCAGAGCTGGGAAGCTCTACAGAGGGTGGTGCAAACAGCAGAGGACATCACTGGTAGCAGTCTCCACACCATCCAGAACATCTACCACAGCCGATGTCTGCATAAAGCACACAGCATCATTAACGACCACACCCACCCAGCACAAGGACTCTTCCATCTACTACTCTCAGGCAGGCAATACAGAAGTCTGCCATCATGCATGAAAAGACTAAAAAACTTACACAGTTATTGTCCACAAACTGTCAGATTACTGAACTCTCAATAAATAACACTGATCAACTGGCAATAACATTACACCAAGCCACATCTGTGACAACTAATATGACTAATATTAGCTTATGACACCTAATATTTTTTATTGCTAATGCATTATGTGGCTGTATCATGTATGTACCTTACCATCATAATTCATCTCATTGTTACTCACTACCTGCTCAATAATCTGTCACACAACCTGTGTAGTTTATGTTAGTTATGTGCAGTATACATCATGTGAATTTAAGCTTATATTACTACCTTGAAATACTTATTCATACAAATTCATCCTACTTGCACCATTATATTCTACCATGTTGTTTACTCTTTTTTTTTTAGGACCTTGTAAATATTGTATTAACTTATTCACTTTTTGGTACTTTATGTTGTACCCTTATTGAATGCTTTAGTATTTCTCGTTTGTTTGTTCATTGTTTTATTGAGTCAAATCAGTTCTTCTCATCCTGAATATTTTATTGTACTGTTAACCTTGTGTTAACCTGCATATGACAAATAAACATAACCTGAATTAAGCATTAACCTTTAATTTAACCATTATGCATACAATGTAATTACGACAGAAAATGGAGAATTTACCTGCAGTTACTTTCGTAGAGATGAACATGTGGTAGCTACTTCCTGTTTATAACTTGTGATCAGCTGATGGGGTCGATCCCCGGCTTTTTACATGTTTACCAAACTCCATTTAATTTTTGAAAATGAATAAACTGTATCCCACCCTCTAAACGCTCAGGGTAACGTGTCTGGATTGCCTGTTCTCCACTGACACCGTTTAACCTTTTTTTTTTTTTTTCTGGTGATTTTTCACAAAACTCTGACTATAAAGCCTGAAGCCTCAGATCTGCAGGTAAGGGGCGTTTACCTTCGGGACAAATTGAGGTTACCAATTGGTCATTTGTTGACAGACCTACTGAATTGATTGACAGGTCGCGGAGCAGAGCCAACTTGTGGAAAAAAGAAAAAAAAAAAGAGAGCTGCAGCCAAGCGGTGGAGGCGGGGCAGCCCAGGAGCAGTGGCAGTGTGTTCTGTGTTTAAATGTTGTTAATAAAAAGTTCTAAAAAAATTTAAAAAACTGGGAGCGCAGGCCCTGCAGCCCACAAATCAGACCAGCCCACTGGGAAATCTCTAGACCATTCCGATTGGCCACTCCGGGCCTGACACTAAACACTAATAATGTAAAACGATACGGTGGAACAACAGCAGTCTGAACATGAGTCTGTGGTGCGCAGGTGGTTATGAATGAATACAGCAACATAAGATAATCTGCAGCATGAGATAATCAGCAGCACAGACAGATCATGACAAAATTAAAGATAGAAAAAAGCAAACAATTTTATTGGCTTTAAATTTAGCTATGCTAGCAGTGTGCTCAGTTTATAAACAAACTGTAAAGTAATAAAGCCTTTATGCTTTGGGAATATTATTTTATAGGCCGAAAAAATGTATCAGTGACCATATCTGGTCCGTGAGCCTTGACTTTGATAAAAGTTTGTGTGGTTCATCATTTTAGTTTCATATTTTCTGATTAAAATTCAGCAATGTTCTCAATTTTAAGCCAAGTTCATATTCCTGACAGACTTTTGTTTTAAATTTTGATGCTAAATGTCCACATTCCTCCATTCTTCTCCTCAGACCGGGTGTCCATGTCTGCAGCATCTCTCTCCAGTCCGACCACACCGGCCTTAATCCGGTTCCAGCTGGGCCTGTTTAGAGAGATGGTTCGAGTCCCACCAGGCAATCTAAGCTTCCGCCATGCTCGGAGGCTGGCTGCTGAGGTCATAGAGCGCAAGGTAACCCTGACTTCACTCAAGATGGCCTTATTTCAACCTGAAGCCTTACGACAGAATTTTACTCCAGATAAAGTGGAAACTTTTACTCAGAAACCTAAAAGCAGAAATACACTGAAAAACGGGTTCAGTTTCATATATTCAGAGTTTGATTGTTTTTCCTGATTATTTTGGTCAAGATTTGATGCAAAATTAATTCATTCAACCTTTATTTATACATGTTCGTCTCACTGAGTCACGAGGGCTCATTTTCAAGAGACCTGAAAAGAGCGCTGCTTTCAAATTTTATCATCACAGCAACATAAAAGAACAAAATATCAGTTTTGAAAATAAGTTCCAACAATTATAGACTCATACCAGCGTTATTAATGAAGCAGCCACAGGACCAAAGTGCTGTACAGTTACAGTCAATAAAGCACAACAGCAGTCACTACACATTATTAAAAGCAAAGCAACTCTGTGATATAATAAAATAAACACATAGGCTACAAAAAATTTAAATTGACACAAATTAAACTAAAAATTGATATCTCAGATGGTGTGAAAGCCAAGGAGAAGAGATGGGTTTTAAGAAGTGTCTGTAGCATCAGGGAAAGCACAATCCCCCTGAATCTTTTGGTTCCCAGGTGTCGTGTTTTCGGCTTTACATGACAATAATTAATTTGGCCAATGCAGAGAGATGGAATTTTGTTGACGGAGCAGACAGAGAAAAATATTAATTTATCACAACTAATATTCAGGCGTCCAAACCAGCAGAGGCTGGGGAATACAGCTACAAAGCATGATGATGATGAAACGATGACGTTGAAGCAGTGGATGCTAGTGTTCTCAGACGTTGGTTTATC